TTGCGGATATTAATTAATATTATAGCGTTTACGCGTTTCAGGCAAAATAAAGATATTTGCGCATTATCGCGTAACATACATACGTCTCTAACGAGCGACTCTTTCGAACACTAAACAATTTTGTAACTATTATAAATGATTATCGATGTACGTAAATTACCGCTCGCTTAAATATATCGCCACGTATGAAAAGAAATAAGATAGCTATATACACTACACGTCGTTAGAGTTCCTTAAGTAAGAATTTAGGACACCGAGTGACGATTTTTGATTGGTTGCACCACATATATGTAATAGAAAAGAAGAACATATATATAATAGAAGAAGAAAATAGACAACGAAAGAGAGAGAGAGAAATATATGTTGCTTTCTCATTCTCTTGTATCTCATTCTACCTTATAAGCTTTTTCCTATTAATGACGACCGGTGTCCTAATTTCTTATTACTTGAGGAATTCTACACGTCGCGAAAAGCGAACGCAGCATGACAGCGAATTTGTGGCCGCCACGAGATATGTATTTAACACGCCCGGAAAAAAACCACAAAAGGGATAATAATCGCGTAAACCGATATTCGACAGGTTCAACAATCGCTTTTGACATACCTTAATCCTGACGTACCTGTCACGTTTCGAAAGGAATAATAATACACAACTTGTGCCGCTGCCTGTTCGCGCGAGTCTCTGATGTCCGCGCGAATGATAACAAGGTGAATGTATTAGCAGCGCCGTGCACGTAAGCACAATTAGGCTGTTTTACGAAATATTAATCGCGTATCGATTAAATACATGCCGAATAGTCTATTCTTTACATTTCACATTAACTTAATGAACTCGTTAGTGTCGCCAAAGATAATGATTAATCTCGTTTGATTGAAAATTCTGTCGAATGAAGATATTGTTATTTTTAAGTTTATCCAATTTATTTAATATTTATGCTACTACCACGCTATAATTTTCACAATTCGGATAATATTTATCTTTCTTCGTTTATTTTTTTTGACGTATACATGCACAGATATTATTTACAAAAAAGGATACATATCCAAAAAAGAGTATTATTTGGAAATTTTATTGTACATTTTTCTATGGATTGTTTATTACTCGAAAATTATCATGATCTCGAATATACTTTATATACTTCAGGCTTTTCGATTCATTAAGAACCGCTTGAGAATTCGCTCTTAGATTACTGTGCGGTAATTGCGAGCATTTTGTACAATCGCTTTTTCACGTTAAACATTTCCATTGATTTTCCATCTGCTTCTCAGAGGCAAGCGAGAAATTACTTACAACATTGTTCTCGTTCGGCGAATATTTTTTGCGCATTTCCTCTTCTTTCCTTTTTTTCTCGATATCTCCGGGAAAGCCGTGCGGGATCCCATTCTACTTTCTTCCGGAGTGTCTACCACGTCGTGTCGAACACGCGCCAGTGCTCACCGACAATGGGGCGCACCATCGGCTGTTTCGCAAGTACACGTAGATTCACACTTGCGATAACAAGGAGAGTTGCTTCGCATTTCCGCGACGGTAAATTGACATTCGACATGCTTGAACTCCCCGACTAACAGTTAAATTTAGGTAAACATTAGAAGTAAATTACCGGGGATAGAATTAGATGAATCATTTAACGTTGTTTCATTGGGGTGGCTCACGTTGCGATTGCTAAAATAGCACTATCACATGTTACATACGTTAGCAATGAGATGTCGCATACATTTCTTACTCAATTTTTTTCCGATCAAGCTTCGTTTTTTTTTTCTTTCATTAACGCTAATTTTTTGTACGTTAGAAATAATACAGTTGCAGACGTTGCAGTTATGATTACAGTTGTTACTTTTTTTGTCGACAAAAATACATATCGAAAACGACAAAATACATATCAGACTGTTGTTTGTGAATAAATGGCTGGCCCAGATTTAATTATCCTTATCGAAGCTGGATGGTCGCCAATAAACACTGTCGAAACGAGCTGTATACCTCGGTTTTGATATTGTCGAGCACGATAATATTGTTAGCATCGCATCGTGCCGTTTATTCGAACGTGCAGCGCTTTCGGTGCATTTACCGCCCCGCTGATTTCTGAACAAAGGCGAGTAGCCCCCGCGTTGCATATAGCGTAATCGATTTATTAGCAGACTGATGGATTATGGCTCCATGGTGATCTGGTGCAGCTGCTTTGAAATAGACCGAGCGCGCGCGATATAACGTTATGTTATCGCGAATCTAAATTGTACAAATTGCGGCAACGATTACGGTGAAATAGAAACTATTAGTCGAGGGCCCGCGATCTTATGATCATAACTCACGGTTAATGATATTTTTATCGGGTGGAAAAACAGGTGCGAGAGTTTATCACTGCGTGTAAAATAAATAGAATGTGATTTTTACGTCTTATCTCTCTCCTCGTGCCGTGTCGGGCAAGAAAGGTGGCGGTTCCGCGAGAGTAAGCGCTGCAGAGACACAAGAAAATAGCATTTAGATTTATTCGTGCGTGACCATTTAACATACGTCTCTAATGAGCGGCGTGATTCTTTCGAGCGAGTACTAAAGAACTTTGGCTTAACTGTTAACTGATTACCAGTGTATGTAATTACGGCGCACCCATAAACTTCCGCCTTGCTCTCTCGAAATTACGAATCAACTTACAATTAGAGTATCATTCATATGCACAAATATACCTACACATACGTGAGCGCGTATTTCTTTATTTTACACCTATCTATTTTACTGAATATATATAAATCCTCTGTTATTAAATCATTATATCATGCATCATTTTTATTCTATTTAATTAATATTGCACGCGTTACTTATTTTGCAAGAGTGATTATAATTACCAATTTTAGTGATACGAGTATAACATAAAGTGAGACAGTATAATTATATTTATGAGAATTTACGGGAGTAGAGAATTACACTATTTCCAAAATAAACCGCTATATCGGCCGTAATTAACACTCGAGGCATCTCGATGCTGAGCGTACAGAATAACCGATATTTCATAATGGCGTGTCATTATCTGATCATTAAGCGCGGTGCTCTCCTCTCAAAAATCCGTCATTACGAATTTCGTGATTTATTTAATAACTTAACAATGCTTTTACAATGCGACGTCAATCGTCGATTAAAGTCGATCAACATTAAACGCTCCATTTTCGCAAATGTAATTGTTTGACGAAATTCTTGTTTGCACAATTGATCGCGTTATCTCTTATTTAACAAATCAACTTAGTGAAAAAGGAAAATAAAAAATATATGTACTTTCCTGCGCCAGCAGTTTTCATTTTAGTATTCAAATCTTTTTATATCAATATATAAAAAATTCCCTTCACGAGAAGAGTTAGCTATCATGATGTAAAAAGTTTAACTGAAAAATTCAACTAAATTTACTTTTATCCTTTTCGATATAATGTTTAACTTTGATGTCGTTAAATTTATCTGTCAAGAGAGAAAGAGAAGATAGCGTAAAATTTAATCAGCGAATTGCATTTCAAACACTCTTCATCAATTTTTCCATATCTTGTTTAAATTTAATAATACCAGATCTATGGAGTACATCGAGAAGTGCAAATTTCCAGAATTAACTCCTTAACACATATATATTATGTATATGTATTATTCAGCTGAAAAACAATTAGATAAACTTTCGTCGTTACATTGCATCCGCTAAGTATAGGCTATTCTGATTTACCATAGAAAATAGAAGAAATAGTCTCAGCGTTGTATCAATAGTAATTTCCAAAGAGCAATTGAACGTGCCGCAGTTAAAGAGTTGAAGACGGTCGATTCTGCGAAGCGATCTTGACGTTTCCAGCAGTTCGCCGGTCGTTGTCGCTCGCAAAGGTAAAGGCGCAAGGAGTAGCGCCACGCGACGAGAACCGAGTAACGGGGTTGCTCTCGATTGTCCCCGCGATGGGTTGCGCGGATGCATCCAGCGAGCAAGCGGGCGAACGGGCGAAGCGGGATACCGTTTGCTTCCGACTACGGTTTCTACGGCCATCATAAAATCACATCGCGCGCAAATGGCGAGGCTCTCTCGGATCAGAGAGAATTGTCCACCGCTTCTTTCTCTCTCTCTCTCTCTCTCTCTCTCTCTCTCTCCCTCCTTCTCTCTCTCTTTTCCATTTGTTTCTCACTTGAACGTTTCTACTTTTTCTCCTCTCCTTCTTACACGTTCGTAGATTTTCTCCTCTTCTCCTTAACTCCACAATAACGACGTCTTCTGGCAGGGGATTTCGCGAGAGAAACCAACGGTACACACGTCGCAAGCTACGATCTCCTATGTACGGTTCCCTTCTCTCCCTTTGCCGGCGGCCCCGTTTCGTTCCTTTTTGCTACTCCTTTTTCATTTCTTCCCTGCTCCACCTCTTTCTCCTCCTCATTCTCCTCCTCTTCCTCCTCCATCTCCCGTTTCTGCTCTGTTCTGTCTAGTTGGGTGCCGCTGCCATCGCTGCGCCCGCTTCTTCTTCTTCTTCTTCTTCTGCTCCTTTTCCGTAACGGTGACGCCGGCTTCCCGTTACGCGTCCAGCCTGAATCGTCCGAAGCGTACGAAGCGGCCTATTCCCTTCCACGACGATGGGCTTCGTTGCATTATGGATGCTGATGCGAGCGAAGGAAAGATGCTGCTAATGTCGGATGGATATGTCCCGTTTGTATCTCTCGGAAATAGGAGAGCCGTGGGAGAGGGGGGAGGGGGGTGTCCGACGCTCACGCGAAATAATTTTTCTCCGCTTAATTCCTTTTGCGTCTTATCTCGCCTTGTTAAACTCAAGGAACATGTGAAATTAGATAGCCTCACGGAGTACATACATCTCACGTAGTTACAAATAGTCTTACGCCTATCCTGCTCGTCTTGTTTTACTATAACCTGTTCCTATATATGTACAGTCGCGATTTATTCTGTTATTACGTAATCAATTTTTACGTATGCACATCTTGTTAGCCTTATTAGGAAAACAAAATAACGCATTAATTTTTTTTTATTCTTGTCTGCTTACAGAACAGCATTACGCAGCAGCTGATTCCAACAGTTCGACGCCCGCTAAGAGCTTCGTACCCTGCAAGGTCTGCGGCGATAAGGCGAGCGGTTATCATTACGGCGTTACCAGCTGCGAGGGTTGCAAAGTGAGTATCGAGAATTCTAATCAAAAGCGCTTAACAAAAAGAGTGAGTCGAAGTTTAAAAGCCGAAGCGGAGCGCGGAAGCTATAACGTCTACATTAATTTTTGCATAATAATTATCGAGAAAAATTATCGCTGCGCAGCGAACGTTTTCGCGTTCGTCTTCCTCGCGATTTTCCTCGGTTCCTCTTGTTTCCAATGATGATGATCTGCTGAGAAAAATCAATCTCTCTCAGCGGCTACTAATTTAAATCTATGTAACATGAATTAATATAATTAATGCGTTTATAAATCAATAATTTAATTTTGCATTAATAACTCAGAAGGCTGAGACTCCATTCCACGCGGTTCACTATCGTAACAAGTCGAAAGAGAATTGCCCCACGCGCGCAGAATTATAAGAATGAAGCTCGAGACGATATATCGTTAGTTGCTCGCAGCTTCCGATATCTCGTGGAATATTCGCCGATCGGTTTGACCTCGCGGCGCGGCGGTGGGTCGAGTACAATTTACAGCTTCAATCCGCAGGGATGCATGACGATCGGGTAATAATCCGCGAAACGGCTCGTTCGCACTTCGGGGCAGGATATTTATCGGTGCGCGCGCTCACGTCTTAAGCACGTCGTGGGAGATGCACATCCGCCGCGGATGCACGCCCGTACGTCGCTGCACGCCTGAGATTCAAACGCGGAAGCCCTAAGGCCAGAGTTAACGGTGAATTGGTGCATTCGCGTATTCGCTAGCAGCAAATTCTGCGGGCGAATGCACGCAGACGTATAATATACACATACACACACGTACACACGCGTGACTGTACGAGTCTGCCGTGCAGATGAGTTTGCTTAAAGCCAGCTTCGAAGCACGAGCTTTCCTTTGCGCACAAGTCCCTCAAACGCGATTCGTCCTCCAAGTATTTTCAATTTAAAGAGGAAAAAAAAACAAAAGAACTTGACACTCGAGCACGTTTTCAATATCGCACAAACGGCGGTATTGCATCTGTGCTTCGACCGTTAATATCCATATTTCGGAGACGCGCATCGAATACCGAAATTATTCGCGTAATATTAAACGTCACGTGTTGATATTCTCTCTTGGAGAACCAAAATCGTTTACGTGAAACTTATATGCACGCATTGATGGGAGCTTCTCGAATTAATATTCGATCAATTTGTATCAAATATCAAATAATATCAAATTATTAATAATATATTAAAGTTTATATTGTAGTTGACTAATAACATCGAGATAATAAAATAAATTTTGCGCGCATAGGTATAAATTGTAATTTAAACTGCAACAAATCAATGAAACGGCTTGCTATTGTTCCGCGTCCGGTCGGGCTATTACTACTGCACCGCTACATTCGTCTGACCCGCGCCGCGTTTTTACTACTGGCTCAATATGCAGCTCGTGCTGTTCGCCTCTCTCTCTCTCTCTCTCGTTTTCTCCTTCATTCTCCTCGTGCAGTATTTATTATCGTACAAAATTCTAATGCAGGTTTGTCTTTGCAGCTGCTTTATAATGTAAATATTTTGTGATATAAGTACACATTTTTTGCAGAAGATAGTGAAATTTTTGTGGAGAGAAAAACATGAAATCTCGTCCCCAATGTTTTATTTTGTACCTTCTCCAATCAAATCGAATTTTTTCTTAACTTGGCCGGAGTTTAGGATTTTTAAAGACTTTGTTTATCCGTTTCATCTTATCTTTTAATCTTCGACCTATATATATATATGTAGATAGGTCTGATATAGATTGATCTAAGTTTAGATAGTATTTGCCGATATATTTTTTTTGCAAGTATATTATCCGAAATAGCATTAACACAACTATCTCGACTACCAAAAATTGTGCGTTCGAGTTATCTATACTTGCAAGGCTCAGGCTTAACCGTAGTGCAATGAAGGAGCCTCACCCTGCAGGACCGCCTTCACGAATAATCTCGCAGAGTAACAAACAGTAATATTTTTTACTTTCATTCGAATCTTCTTATTAGTTTAAGTATAGAATATTGAATACGAGGAAGATTTGCAGATGTTACACGACATAACATTATTTAAATATGCATATATATGTATATATATATATTTTTTTTAATACAACTTACTATGTATAAATTATACATATTATAATATTTTTATAATATATTTTACATACATATATATTTTTTCATAGTTTCGGGGGGAATTATAGATTCTTATAAATGCTTATTAGCATCAAAAATATTAAATTGTTTGACAATTTTATTTGTTACAGGGGATTATTCTAGCCTTATATAAAAATTGTGTTTCAAGACCGATAATATATGCGACTTGCAGTTTGTATGTGATTTGATATTATAACAATAAAAATTATTAATAAAATATACACCAACATGCGTGTCGGCTCACAAAGGCATTATTGAATTATTTATGATTTATTTATTATTGGAGCCTTAATTTCTTCAAGTTAAATATATATATTTATTATATATGTATAATATATATATTTAACATTTTATAATACCTATATTTATATGATTTTAACTGCTTTTAATATTCCCGGACAATCCTTTTGTTCCCTGAAAACCCTTGCGAGACCTCTACCCCCTCCATTCGTGAGCTCTCACTCTATAAAATCGCATCCCTCCAAAACTGTCCATTAGTTCGAATACTTAACGCTACGTTGCGCAACGTTTGTAGTCTTTCTCGTATTCAAAATTCGTCACCTAAACTTATAAAAAGACTCGAGCGAGGTTGAGAAGCATACTTACCTGGCGTAGAGGCTACCGTGATCATGAAGGCGGTTCCTCCAGGGCGAGGCTCTTCCATTGCACTACGGTTGGGGCTGACCCTTGCGAATATCCCTAATGTGGATATCTCGGACGTATAATTTTTGGTAGTCGGGACTGCGTTCGCGCTATCCCGGATAATATACTTGCAAAAATAATATACAGGAAAACATCCTCTAAACTTGTTAGACCTATTTACATGTCTATCTGACAGAATCTTACTCTTACTCTGTATATGCATATAATTATGTAATGCAAATTGAATAAATGATATATATTGAAATAACTTTTGAAAAAAAATATCTATTAATTTTATTAAGTAAAAACAAATGTAATCTACCTAAAATTTTAATTTCAATTTGAGTATTCTGTACATATTCTATTCTTTTTCTGTGATGGAGCAAATCTCATTGCGTAATGAGATAAAAAATGATTTTATCTTTTTAACTATACTTAATTAAATGAGCATTAATTAATTAAAACTTTTGTCGCAGCGTTTTTAAAATCTGTGTATGTTCGACTTATAACTATTGATCTATCAAAATACATAATTATACCGTCATTATTTTTTCCATCACGTGGCTGGCGAGGACAAACATACGGGCGCGTTATAATGTATCGATTTTAGAGACTAGCTGAGGTCGCGCACGCCATCGGTTACCGAGTAATATCGACAGTTGCATTACGAGCAGTCCGTCCATCGGGGATTCCAGGATATTGGATGCTGGATGTACGTTAGCGTTGTTGCACGATGCTGTTACGAATACCTTTCATCAATTAGCACCGGTAGTAATATGCCAATAAATCGATGCTTTCTCGATTGCCCGCGACTCATCCATATGCCGTTTCCATTATTCCATTACTTCCGCGTGAGCTCCTCACTTCGTGAAGCCACAGCCGGCTGTTTATGTAATACGTAATATTAGTGAACATGAAAAATATGAGTCGTAGGCTTATATTAAAATCGCTGAGCATTCCAACCATACTCAACATAGATACTAAAACGTGAATGAGAAGCAACAGTTATTTCAAAGATTCATAAGAAACTCTTCAACTAAATCCAAATTTGTTCAAAATGTATTCAAGTAATTTGCTCACAATCAGTACTTTAGAATCCCTAATATA